GTCGGCGAGGAGGAGGAGGTGCAGCAGCAGCAGAGGAGGAGGAGGCGGCCGCGCGCGTCCCTGGGCCTCGACCTCGCCTAGCGCCGGACGTGACGTCACGGCCGCGATGCGATTATCGCCGGTGCCGATGTCGATTAAGGGAATCGATGATGATCGATTAATTTTATCAGTTCGTAAATGATTTTTTATTTCGATTTAAAGCTTTCGTGACTGCAAGGATTCATCTTCTTTGGTTCTTTCGGTAAAGTCACGTAGAATGAGAATAAAATAATAGTTATTTCAATGCTAAATTCTCCTGTTTGATTTGTACTAGGTGCCTCTGTGGATGTGTATGCTCTGACTTTAACATAGCCATTTCTGTGACCAGTCACAAGCTAATCACTCAGCTATTTAAATGCTAAATTCTATGCTAATTCCTTTGTCAAGAGTTGCCTCTGTGGATGTGTATACTTTAACTTGGCTATTTCAATGCTAAATTCTATGCTAATTCCTTTGTCAAGGGGTGCCTCTGTGGATGTGTATGCTTTGACTTTAACATAGCCATTTCTGTGACCAGTCACAAGCTAATCACTCAGCCATTTCAATGCTAAATTCTATGCTAATTCCTTTGTCAAGGCGCTCTGTTTCTTCTGACACAGCTTAAAGGCCGTGATCTGAACGTGGCTCTTTCACTCCAGCGCTGTCCTACCAGACAGTCTCGTCCCTTCACCTGATGAAGGCCGCTTGTGTTGTGGCCGAAACGTTGTGTTATTTTATTTTATCAATTTATTATTTTATTCTCATTCTACGTGACTTTACCGAAAGAACCAAAGAAGATGTGTGAGGTTTGTCGTTAAACCCGACACCACCCGACGCAGCCGATCCTTTAAGGTTTTGTCACGTAAACAAAACGCGCCAATTCGTTACGAGTTCAGCACCAGCGGCTGTGTGTTGGAGAATAAATTATTTTATATTTTATTTTATTTTTTCACCTACGTGACTTTATGAGTATGGATCCTCGCAGTCACGAAAACTGCAAATCTAGAATGAACACGCAACATTTACAATTCAAGTACCGTGGAGTTTCGCCGATGATTGCAACAACCATCATCTCTTGCTGTCGCAAGAGGTCACACTATTAACGCGACTACCTCTTTAATACGAGTGACGATTATCAGAACCGTTTCTGGCTCCCCCTTAATTGACTACCTGGTGCGATGTGTAAATTGGGGAGACAAAGGCGGCCGGGGCGTGCATGCTTGCCAACCCATCCCTCGTGTGCTGCTACTCGCTAACAGCACTTGCCCCTACAGCCTGTTACTACGGGCTACACGGGGGGGGGGGGGGGATCTTCGTCCTCGTGTCGCTCCGCGTCTGCTCTCGCCACCAGGTGCTGCTGTGTGGGGGGCTACGCCCGCCTCCCCGCTCCCGCTGGGCGGGGGGGGGGGCGCGACGTCCACCCCCTCCACTCCCCCCTCCTCCTCGTCGGCCGCCTCTCACCGGGCCCCCGCCGATCGGGTGACCCCCGCCCCCGCACCAGCGCCCACCCCCCCCCCGCGCCAGCGCCCCCCCCCCCCCGAGCTAGCGCCCCCCCCCCGCGCCAGTGCCCCACCCCCCGCGCCAGCGCCCCCCCCGCCAGTGCCCCACCCCCCGCGCCAGCGCCCCCCCCCCCCGCCAGCGCCCCCCCCCCCCGCCAGCGCCCCCCCCCGCCAGCGCCCCCCCCCGCCAGCGCCCCCCCTGAGGGTCACGGCTAAGTGGCTGCGGGCACGCCACCGCCCGGGGTTATCCCACGTGCAGGCGCGACACGCACGCGCCCCTGCAGGCGCGTGCGTGTCGCGCCAAGCTGAGCGCTACAGGAAACGTGACGCCGGCGATATTCATATGCGCGCCCCCCTCCGGGTGGCTCAGCCCTAATCTGGCAGCACACCAAGGCTCATGCTAGAGGGCTGTATGAATACACACGGCACGCTTCGCCGTTCACGCTATTGCCCGCCGTGTAAACGCCGGCGAGCGGGTTTATCGCACCCCGCCCTAATTACTCACGCGGCACACTGTAGGCGCTCGTGTTTCACACACGCGCGCGTACACTCGCCTGAGCGTCGGCGGCCGTGTATGTTTGAATACACGCGCGCCTCACACACGCATTACTGCAGCCCTGCGCTCGCTCTCTCGCGCACGCTGTCTCGCCTCGCAGTCGCACCACACACGACGCGCAGACACCACGCCGAGGTTACACACACAACACAGAAATCACACTGCACCGATACTCTGATCTAAAGTTTATTAACCGCGCAAATACACCCTACCTGGAGGGGGAATATTTCACGGGAAGAGCTTAGCCTGATTTTGCCTACGAACCCAGTCGCTCAAACGTCCTACCACGTACCTCGTAGCTGTGCTCACGGCGTCGCACGGACGTTGTGAGAGTCGGAGGGAGAAGGACGAGCGAAAACTTCACCCATCACTGCCTCGTAGCAGCACTCGCTGGCATCACACGGATGCTGCGAGCGGCTCAAGGAGGCAGGACGGCAGAGACAGAGGGTCTTGACGGCCCGGAGGTTGAAGCCAACTCACTCTAAATCGTCCGGGCTCCTCCCCCCCCATTTTTATTCTCTAAACTTCAAAGGCCCAGGGTGACGTCATACCGCGCAGCCAATCGTGCGCCTACCTGTGGTTACCGGCCCCTTGTTACCGCGCCGGCCACCCATTGTCCCTCGTTGCCCATTGTCTGGAAGGGCGCTGCGCTTTTGCTCGCTTAATATTCCGCCCTCCGTCCTCACCCCAGTGTCGTGAGTAACTCAACGCGGTTGGCCCAGGGAACCTTTTCTGCGCCCAGACAATTTTAAGCCAATTTTAGGGGCATCGTAATGTAACCTGTCCTGTTTGGGTCGGCAAATCTCCTGGCACCGGGAAACCGTGGGACTCTCCCTCTAGGGGCCCTTCGGATTAAAACCCGACGTGCCAGGCATCGCCCCGCCAGGACACTGCGTGGGTGCGCTGTGTGTGTGTTTAGTGCTGGAGGGGATCGCGGCGTTTGCCGAGTTGCTCCGCGGCCGTGGCACCACAGCTGCTCCCAGGGCTTGAAGCAGTTCTGGCACCGGCTCTTGTCAAAGATGTTCACCTCAAACATCTGGCAGTGTCCCTCCGGGGCAGGCATCTTTCCATGCTCGCCTCCCGGTGCTAGCTCCATCTCTCTCTCTTCAGGAGGTGGTGGTGGTGGTGGTGATGGAGGTGGTGGTCACTCGCAAGCGGCATCGCTGTGTTCAGGAGACACAGGGGCATCTTTGTCCTTTAGGATCAAGAGTGGTGAAGCAATCGTCAATTTCAGAATCCGGTCAGTGGCTCGGATATCATTGTCACGTTTGTTGCAAGCGGCGTGCAGTGAGTTTACCGCCTCCACTCAATGTAAACAAAAGCAAATCGATGCTTGTGATGTTTTAAGGCCGCCTTTTCATTAACTCGTTTTAGTTTTCTGTCCTTCCCTCGCACCTCCGATTAGCGCGGTTGGCTACGTACGACGCGAAAGAAGTTCAATGAGCAATGCGTTCATGCAACTAATCGATCATCTTTACCGTCTAGTTTGTGTTTGTAATTCTCAGGCTATTTTCGTGCAGTTTTTTTGTTCGATTCGTCATCCTAATCTAAACATTAGCACGTCCCTGGTTTGCACGTGGTTCGTGAAGGCTATGAGCGAATCTATAATTAGAGTGAAGGAAAAAAGTATTTGATCCCCTGCTGATTTTGTACGTTTGCCCACTGACAAAGAAATGATCAGTCTAAGGGGACAGGACAACTTCACCGCATCAAAGGGACGATGGACGGGGCCATGTACCGTCAAATCTTGGGTGAGAACCTCCTTCCTTCAGCCAGGGCATTCAAAATGGGTCGTGGATGGGTATTCCAGCATGACAATGACCCAAGACACACGGCCAAGGCAACAAAGGAGTGGCTCAAGAAGAAGCACATTAAGGTCCTGGAGTGGCCTAGCCAGTCTCCAGACCTTAATCCTATAGAAAATCTGTGGAGGGAGTTGAAGGTTCGAGTTGCCAAACGTCAGCCTCAAAACCTTAATGACTTGGAGAAGATCTGCAAAGAGAAGTGGGACAAAATCCCTCCTGAGATGTGTGCCAACCTGGTGGTCAACTAGAAGAAACGTCTGACCTCTGTGATTGCCAACAAGGGTTTTGCCACCAAGTACTAAGTCATGTTTTGCAGAGGGGTCAAATACTTATTTCCCTCATTAAATTGCAAATAAATTCATAATATTTTTGACATGCGTTTTTCTGGATTTTTTAGTTGTTATTCCGTCTCTCACTGTTCAAATAAACCTACCATTAAAATTATAGACTGATCATTTGTCAGTGGGCAAACGTACAAAATCAGCAGGGGATCAAATACTTTTTTCCCTCACTGTATATGTCTGTTTTCTTCAAGATTAAAAGCTTCATGATTATTTTTCTGGATTCGGTCCGGTCAGGTTTTCGCAACGTGAGAGGCGTTGATTGCTGCGTTTAATCCCGACCGGGGTATGTACGTAGTGCACGTAGAACTTCTTTTGCACCCTACTTAGCCAACCGTGCCGATCGGATTTGCGGGGGCAGGACGATAACGTCAAACAGAAAAAAAGCGGTTCTCAAGAAGTTAGTTTTGATTTTGCGGTGTACAATTGAGCACATTGTGGACATGAGGCGGGAACATAACGGTCTAAATCAACCAAATCTCGCAAACCCAAGCGGCGTTGAGCCTGGATGAGTGCTCGGCTGGGCGAACCACCGTGTGAAACAGGTGTTATAGGCTGCTGCGGGGCTACGTGGTGGACAGCAGACGGCAGTGCGAGCCAAATCAAATATCCTACTGCCACTTAAACGCTCGCCACCGTCACCAAACCTGTACTGAACCAGCGTGGTGAAGTATGGTCAAACAAACCCCCCCCACCACCACCTGCACGACGTGGGGTGGCCGTCATCCAGCAGTGGAGAGACAAAGAGGGCTGTGGCCACCCGCCACGTGCTGAGAGTTGCCTACCAACTGCAGCCCAAACATCACCTGGCGAGCCGCATAGCTTTAGCAGGCTGTCGGGGCAAGCGCTGCAAGTCGTGCACAAACACACCCGAATAAGTAAACTCAGCAACCTGCGCGTGCCCTCAACAACAACACAATAGCCGGACGTTTCGGGCAACGATCCTTTTCCTCACGGCAGCACGCCCGCTCAACCCCAGCGCCGTATGGTACACATACAGGGGCACTGTAAAAACCCGGAATCGAATCGTATCCGGGAATCGCGGTTGACGGGAATCGCCGTCGGGGAATCGATTCCCGTCAGATGGACAGTGCCGCGGACTGGTCGCGTGTGATGGAGACGCGGGGCTGAGCGAGGCGGCTTCTCCTCCTCCTCCTCGTCCTCCTCCTCCTCCTCGTCCTCCTCCTCCTCGCTCTCCCTATCTCATCCCTCTGTGTCTCTCTCTCTCTTCACTCTCTGCATCGGTGTAGGAGGAGAGAGACCCCCCCCCCGGACGGCCGTAGACCCCTTCGCGACTCGCGTTGCCTGCAAGCCGGGTGAGGCGATGAGTCCGCGCGCTCTTGTGGGCAGCTAGGCCAGGGGAGAGAGCTGCGATCGAGTGGTCCTCACCTCGTCAGCATCATCATCATCAGCAGCATCATCATCAGCAGCAGCATCAGCAGCAGCAACGCTGCCCCCTCAGTGCGTTATTGGCTGCACAGTCGTTGTGAAGTACTCGTTGTGAAGTACTCATTGTGAAGTACTCATTGTGAAGTACTCGTTGTGAAGTCTCATTGTGAAATACTCGTTGTGAAGTCTCATTGTGAAGTACTCATTGTGAAGTACTCATTCTGAAGTACTCATTGTGAAGTACTCATTGTGAAGTACTCATTCTGAAGTACTCATTGTGAAGTACTCATTGTGAAGTCTCATTGTTAAATACTCGTTGTGAAGTCTCATTGTGAAGTACTCATTGTGAAGTACTCATTCTGAAGTACTCATTGTGAAATACTCGTTGTGAAGTACTCATTGTGAAGTACTCGTTGTGAAGTACTCATTGTGAAGTACTCGTTGTGAAGTACTCGTGAAGTACTCGTTGTGAAGTACTCGTGAAGCACTCGTTGTGAAGTACTCATTGTGAAGTACTCATTGTGAAGTACTCGTTGTGAAGTACTCATTGTGAAGTACTCATTGTGAAGTCTCATTGTGAAGTCTCATTGTGAAGTACTCATTGTAAAGTACTCGTTGTGAAGTACTCATTGTTAAGTACTCGTTGTGAAGTCTCATTGTGAAGTACTCATTGTGAAGTACTCATTGTGAAGTACTCATTGTGAAGTACTCATTGTGAAGTCTCATTGTGAAGTACTCGTTGTGAAGTACTCATTGTGAAGTACTCATTGTGAAGTACTCGTTGTGAAGTACTCGTTGTGAAGTACTCGTTGTGAAGTACTCGTTGTGAAGTACTCGTTGTGAAGTACTCATTGTGAAGTACTCATTGTGAAGTACTCATTGTGAAGTCTCATTGTGAAGTACTCGTTGTGAAGTACTCATTGTGAAATACTCGTTGTGAAGTACTCATTGTGAAGTATTCGTTGTGAAGTATTCGTTGTGAAGTACTCATTGTGAAGTACTCATTGCGAATTACTCATTGTGAAGTACTCATTGTGAAGTACTCATTGTGAAGTCTCATTGTGAAGTACTCATTGTGAAGTACTCGTTGTGAAGTACTCATTGTGAAGTACTCATTGTGAAGTCTCGTTGTGAAGTACTCATTATGAAGTCTCATTGTGAAGTACTCGTTGTAAAGTACTCGTTGTAAAGTACTCATTGTGAAGTACTCATTGTAAAGTACTCATTGTGAAGTACTCATTGTGAAGTACTCATTGTGAAGTACTCATTGTGAAGTACTCATTGTGAAGTCTCGTGAAGTACTCATTACGAAGTCTCATTGTGAAGTACTCGTTGTAAAGTACTCGTTGTAAAGTACTCATTGTGAAGTACTCATTGTGAAGTACTCGTTGTGAAGTACTCGTTGTGAAGTACTCATTGTGAAGTCTCATTGTGAAGTACTCATTATGAAGTCTCATTGTGAAGTACTCATTGTGAAGTACTCATTGTGAAGTCTCATTGTGAAGTACTCGTTGTGAAGTACTCGTTGTGAAGTCTCATTGTGAAGTACTCATTGTGAAGTAATCATTGTGACGGTCTCATTGTGAAGTACTCATTGTGAAGTACTCGTTGTGAAGTACTCATTGTGAAGTCTCATTGTGAAGTACTCATTGTGATGAACTCATTGTGAAGAACTCATTGTGAAGTACTCATTGTGAAGTCTCATTGTGAAGTACTCTTTGTGAAGTACTCGTTGTGAAGTACTCATTGTGAAGTACTCATTGTGAAGTCTCATTGTAAAGTACTCATTGTGAAGTCTCATTGTGAAGTACTCATTGTGAAGTACTCATTGTGAAGTCTCATTGTGAAGTACTCATTGTGAAGTACTCATTGTGAAGTACTCATTATGAAGTCTCATTGTGAAGTACTCATTGTGAAGTACTCATTGTGACGTACTCATTGTGAAGTACTCATTGTGAAGTCTCATTGTGAAGTACTCATTTTGAAGTACTCATTATGAGGTCTCATTGTGAAGTACTCATTGTGAAGTACTCATTGTGAAGTACTCATTGTGAATTATTCGTTGTGAAGTACTCATTGTGAAGTACTCATTGTGAAGTACTCGTTGTGAAGTACTCATTACGAAGTCTCATTGTGAAGTCTCATTGTGAAGTACTCATTGTGAAGTCTCATTGTGAAGTACTCATTGTGAAGTACTCGTTGTGAAGTACTCATTGTGAAGTACTCATTGTGAAGTACTCATTGTGAAGTACTCGTGAAGTACTCATTACGAAGTCTCATTGTGAAGTCTCATTGTGAAGTACTCATTGTGAAGTACTCATTGTGAAGTCTCATTGTGAAGTACTCGTTGTGAGGTACTCGTTGTGAGGTACTCATTGTGAAATACTCATTGTGAAGTACTCATTGTGAAGTCTCATTGTGAAGTACCCATTGTGAAGTCTCGTTGTGAAGTACTCATTGTGAATTACTCGTTGTGAAGTACTCATTGTGAAGTACTCGTTGTGAAGTACTCGTTGTGAAGTACTCATTGTGAAGTACTCATTGTGACGTACTCATTGTGAAGTACTCGTTGTGAAGTACTCATTGTGAAGTACTCATTGTGAAGTACTCGTTGTGAAGTACTCATTGTGAAGTCTCATTGTGAAGTCTCAATTTTGAAGTACTAATTGTGAAGTCTCATTGTGAAGTACTCATTGTGAAGTACTCTTTGTGAAGTACTCGTTGTGACGTACTCGTTGTGAAGTACTCATTGTGAAGTACTCATTGTGAAGTCTCATTGTGAAGTACTCATTGTGAAGTTCTCATTGTGAAGTCTCATTGTGAAGTCTCGTTGTGAAGGACTCATTGTGAAGTACTCATTGTGAAGTCTCATTGTGAAGTACTCATTGTGAAGTACTCATTGTGAAGTACTCGTTGTGAAGTACTCATTGTGAAGTCTCATTGTGAAGTACTCATTGTGAAGTACTCATTGTGAAGTACTCGTTGTGAAGTCTCATTGTGAAGTAATTGTTGTGAAGTACTCGTTGTGAAGTACTCGTTGTGAAGTCTCATTGTGAAGTACTCATTGTGAAGTACTCATTGTGAAGTACTCGTTGTGACGTACTCGTTGTGAAGTACTCATTGTGAAGTCTCATTGTGAAGTACTCATTGTGAAGTACTCATTGTGAAGTCTCATTGTGAAGTACTCTTTGTGAAGTACTCGTTGTGAAGTACTCATTGTGAAGTACTCATTGTGAAGTCTCATTGTGAAGTACTCATTGTGAAGTCTCATTGTGAAGTACTCATTGTGAAGTACTCATTATGAAGTCTCATTGTGAAGTACTCATTGTGAAGTACTCATTGTGAAGTACTCATTGTGAAGTACTCGTTGTGAAGTACTCATTGTGAAGTACTCATTGTGAAGTCTCATTGTGAAGTACTAATTGTGAAGTCTCATTGTGAAGTACTCATTGTGAAGTACTCATTGTGAAGTACTCATTGTGACGTACTCATTGTGAAGTACTCATTGTGACGTACTCATTGTGAAGTACTCTTTGTGAAGTACTCGTTGTGAAGTACTCGTTGTGACGTACTCGTTGTGAAGTACTCATTGTGAAGTCTCATTGTGAAGTACTCATTGTGAAGTACTCATTGTGAAGTCTCATTGTGAAGTCTCATTGTGAAGGACTCATTGTGAAGTACTCATTGTGAAGTACTCATTGTGAAGTACTCGTTGTGGAGTACTCATTGTGAAGTACTCGTTGTGAAGTACTCGTTGTGAAGTACTCGTTGTGAAGTCTCATTGTGAAGTACTCGTTGTGAAGTACTCGTTGTGAAGTACTCATTGTGAAGTACTCGTTGTGAAGTACTCATTGTGAAGTACTCGTTGTGAAGTACTCGTTGTGAAGTACTCGTTGTGAAGTCTCATTGTGAAGTACTCGTTGTGAAGTACTCGTTGTGAAGTACTCGTTGTGACGTCTCACTGTGAAGTACTCGTTGTGAAGTACTCATTATGAAGTACTCATTGCGAAGTACTCATTGCGAAGTCTCATTGTGAAGTACTCATTGTGAAGTACAGGTAGTCGGTGATCGTGAAGTACTTTGTGACTGTGCGCTACTCAGTGATTGTGCGCTACTCAGTGATTGTACAGTACACAGTGATTGCGAAGTGCTGTTGTCATTGATTGTAAAGTACTCGGTGATCGATGAGTACACATTGTGAATATCTCATTTGAGAGTGAAGTACTGTGTTCGTGAAGGACAGTGCCCAGTGATTATGAAGGTACTTACTGATTATACATCACAGTGTTCAGTTTCAAGCACTGTACAATGCAAATTGCTCATTGTAAACCATTTATTAATTTCTCAGTGCTTGTGTTGAGTTGCCAGGTGGTCAGCGTGAGGTGTTCGGTGAATTGTAAAGTACAGAGTGAATGGAAAAGTACTTTTGGATTCTCACCTTAATCGCCTTGGCCAGTGCGCTGTCCTACTTGTGACGGCTGGGCATGTCGCCTTCTAAATATGCGGTATAATGATATAATTGACGTTTTAATCCAATAATTACCGCTGGTCGCTGTAAACGTGACTTTTGCGTGCACGAAATTAGTCAACAAACACATTCCATCCTATAATAATAGGGCTTTTCCCCTTTTTACTAGGATTAATGTCTGCATTAACCACAATACCTGCAGTCAAAATGCAAACAAAAAACATACTATGATAATATATGCATTGTCCTTGAAACTGATTGGTCCACACCAAGGGACGGCTTTCTTTTGAGCCTCGACCCAATTGGTGCTCGACCAGCAACTGGTCACATTCCATCATTTTTTCTGTGTTGCTACGAATGCCTAGTGGTGCGACTTTACTCCATGGAGCAGCTGGTCGCATTGTAGTAACATATTTGTGTTTGCATTTAAAAACCCAGACTGTTAGGCCATGGCCACCGCGGCAGTGGCGGCCGCAGTGGTGTCCCACATCAACCCTCGTCAGGACTTCCCGGCGTGGCTGGCCGCCCACGGCGTGAGCCTCAGCGTGGCCGAGGCCGTGGACAGGGAGCTGGGCATCGGCGACTACGAGGCCTTCATGGCGTGCGCCGAGCAGCCCCACGTCAGGGCCGAGATGTTCGCTGCCGCCAGGGAGCGGCTGCCCTTCGCCTTCTACGCCGTGCTGCGCCGCGTCACCGAGGCCTCGTCCCCCAAGCGCCACGACGGGGCCGGCGGGGCCTGTGGAGGCGGCATCCAGGCCACCAGCGTGATGGCGTTCCAGCCGTTTCTCAGCGGCCTCCTGGACGCCATCGTCCTCATGCTCAGCAGTCTCAGCCAGGAACTGCTTCAGTCGGTTGAGAGGTTCAGTGACCTTCACGGATTGCTGTACGTCACCGCGGAGGAAAAGGCGGAGGAGTCAAGTCACCACCGCGGGGATGCTGCTCTTGACTCGAGTAATTTGATTTGCTTCAAACAATTCATCATTTTTTTTCTCTGCCTAGTTATCTTATTCCATTATACGCTGCTATAGTGCATTAATCTTTTATGCCAATTCATTTTCAAGTGAGTTTAAAAACTCTATTAATACCCATATTAAAATATTATGTAGATATGTTATCTAATGAAAGAGCAATATCGACCTTGTCCACAATTGTGCTTTTAAACCATTAAAAGAACCATGTAATAATCAAATTACAATCTGGGTGCACATTTCTCTTCAGAAATGGCACTTGTAAAAATCACAAATGACAAAACCTATTGGCCATGGATGGAGGTAAAGTTACTGCCACTACCACTCTACATTAAATTATCTTTTGACTTAACCATGAAAGCTTGCTGGGTACTCTGCACGTGAGAGCGGAAATATCTGGGTCAGTCCTTGATTGATTCTGCGATTACCTCTTAAATATGGTAACCACGATTATAATAGCATTTGTCTAGTCTTGGACGCATCAGCAATTTGTTTCGTGTCAATTGTTCTCGTGGGCTTGCTGCAGGCTTCGCCGAGGAGTATGAGGACGAGGTCTCTGAGAACATGAACGAGTTATCGGCAGAGAAGGACTTCCAAGAAGAAAGGGGACAGAATGACAGGTGGCCCGAGTCGAACTGCTTTCACAGCGACGGTATGATTGCAGGTTCGTGAGACCAGGATCACACATTGCCCATCCTTTCATTTATGACTCAAAAAACTGAATTGCCATCAGCCGTGTGTTCTCGCCCCTGTAGCGTTGGGGGTGCCGCAGAGCGCTGAGCTTCCACTGCTTACAACTCAGCTTCCCTACCCCCCTCCCCTTCTGCTGGTGCAACATTTACCACCAGCGGGCGAGGGGCCTTCACACAACGCAGCTATTTGTACAGTTGAGCGACGGGTTTGTGACAGCCTTTCCTCGTCTACACAGCCTGGCATGAGAGACGAGAATGCATAGTAACAGACGAGAGCAGATCGCGTTGAAGGTTTGAATGTGCTGGTCGCCGCCCCCCTCCTCCCCTCAATGTCTTGCTATTTGGTTCTTCTCTCCATCCACAAAGTTCTCGCACTCGGCCCTGTGCACTGCTGCCTACTCCAATGCTAAAGTGGATGCGTCCTGCAGACGAAGCCGGCAGGTCGGAAGACGAACGCGAGCAAACTCCGGAAGAGATGCTGCCCGACGGGCCGGAGGATCGCGCCGTCGAGGGCCACGCGTGGGGCCTCGTGGGCGTGAAGGCCGAACCCATCGCGGACGAGGCCGGCAGGTCCGACGGCGGGGGAGATCGAACCCCGGACGAGATGCTGCCCGACGCGCCGGAGGATCGCGTGGCCCGGGGCAACGTGTGGGGCGTGCTGGGTGTGAAGGCGGAACCCATCGCGGGAGGCGAGTCACTCGACCCGCTCTCATGGTGGTAGCTGTGCGGCGCTGGGCTGTGGTTCTAACCTCAGAAATGCAAATAAGTAGGGAGGGAACAAATATATATATGACTTCGTGGGAACAATACCCATGTATACATATTGCTGGCGATGCCCGTTTTACCCGCTGTATTGCAACACTGCGCCGTGGGGCTTTGTAGACCTTCCCACGCTGCGGTGTTCATGGAGGATCGTGCGGTTGTTTGACCTTATTTCACCTCGCTGGTCAGTGCGTGTTGGTTAAGGGAAGGGCCCAGGACCGATTCAGATGTTACCCTCCACAGACGTAAGCTGTGGGCAGGAATTACATTCGGGTTGTCGTGTGCATAAGCATGAGCCTTAACCACTCTGTGCCCCATTCTAAATCTGCTCTCGTCCATTAGGCCGACAACGTTGAGTCATTTGAGGCACTAATTATTGCAGATGTAGAAAAAATTTGGCAAGTTTAAGGTTTCCATTCCACGCACATGCCTGATACCATCCCTTGCTGGTTTTTATCTAAAGTTGAGACTGGAACAGGTAATTTAAATGTATACACCACGTGCTTGCTCTTGCATTTATTAGTTGAATTTGTAAGTTTCCTGCTTATTCAAAATAAATCAATGAGTCTTTACAAACTCGGACAAGAACATTTGAGGTGAACCTCAAATGCACGTGGTGTCAAACTGAAATCCACTGTACCCATCACGAAATGACTGGAGCAAAATTGTAGCAGGATTCCAATTGATTCTCTTTCAACTCAAAGTATGCGTACGTTCTAATTGACTGAACAGCAGAAATATAAACAAAAGTACATCGTGATATGAAACACAAGGAAACACGTATATTGTAAGCATGTAATGATGCATCCTTTCATCAGATAAAATACATCATAACACTTATTCATCGTGCAGGTGTCATGTACAGATTGCATTGTAGAAATGATAACACAATTTTCTTTAAGAACACAACTGATTGAGTGGTTAGAAAATGTAAAACATAATAAGTTTTTGATTTAAAGCTTTCGTGACTGCAGTGATTAATATTCTTGGTTCTTTCGGTAAAGTCACGTTGAAGGGAAACAAAATAATAAAATATATATAAAACACTAAAATTCTCACGACGTTTCGACTGTAACACAAACAGTCATCATCAGGTGTGATGATGTTTTTTTCACACCTGATGATGACTGTGTTACAGTCGAAACGTCGTAAGAATTTTATTGTTTTATATATATTTTATTATTTTCTTGTTTCCCTTCAACGTGACTTTACCGAAAGAACCAAGAATATAATAAGTTTTGTGACCCTACATTATTTTACGTCTTTGCTGGCTGAACTCGAGGAGACAACCTCTCTCATTCCCAACTCCACTGTCAACTTCACCAATCATTCTCGGCACACGGCACCTTCTACCTACTCTGGTAATTCGAAATGCCGACGAACCCCTTTGCGCGTCGTGCAGGCAACGGCAGCGAGGACCTGATGTTCGAGGCCGGTGCTACACAGCACCCGAAGTTCCGGTCGTTCGGCCCCTTGGCAAAAGCGAGGCTTCCCCCTCACCAGTCGCACGGCCCGTTGCCGGACGGCGAGCCTGCGCGCCCCCCGCCGAACCTCGGCGAGCCATTTGGCGACGCGAGGATGGGCGGCGAGTGTCCCGGTTCGGACTCGACGGGCGAGGGCTGCTCCGACGAGCTGGCCGGTGACTTTGGGGCCGGCCCGTTCACGTGCACCGACTGCGGCCTCGCGTACAGCGACATGAACAAGCTGTGGCGGCACCAGGCGTTCCGGCACGGCGGCGAGAAGCCGTACGTCTGCGACGTGTGCCGGAGCCGCTTTTCGCTGGTGCGGAACTTGAACCAGCACAAGAAGATTCACACGGGCGAGAAGCCGTTCGTGTGCGAAGAGTGTGGCATGAGCTTTGGTCGCAAATACCACCTGCACAGACACAAGAAGATCCATACCATCTTATAAAAGACAGGACATGTGAAGTGCACTGTGGTCGTTTTATATATATATTCCCAATGGTAACAGTTACATGTGATCTGATTTGGCACCAGAAATGCAAGATGAATGTGGTTACAATACGAAGCAAGTGCTGTCAGATCTGTGGGTGGATTCTGCTATTTGCTGTGCTGCTTGTTCAAGCCATATGGACCTTCCCTGTTGGAGAATACTCGACTCGATTGTTTTGGGGTGCTGCATTGGACACTTCGTTATTGAACTGTCCTTGTCCTCATCTCTGCAGAGCAAACGTTTGTTAAACAGCAACACAAAAAGATGCATAACAATGGGAAGGATTTTATTTTGCATTAGCACAGTGGTGCAATTTGCATATATTTAGGTACGTTTTTGAACAAATGTGGCCATGATGCTGGCACAGGTAAGTCAGTGGTCTCATGGGGTCATGCATACCTGTGACCTATCGTATGGGACGTCCTTGCCGAAGGTCGCCTGGTTAATTTAGCAACGCTCCTTGCAATGCATCTGTTGGGGGCGCAGAGAACGAGGCTTAAATTTAGCGTTGCCCTGGAGACACCCACTCGGATGTGCTAAAAGCGAAATTAACACATCAATTGCATCCTCCGCTCACACCGTGACAGTAGGCGTAGTGTTCTTGTTTAAATATTGCCAGCATCAAAACACTCGAATTGGTTTTACCCTTTCTGGCAATAAAACAGGTGTTAAGATGTTAAAACACCAAACGGATTCACCTTGCAAGGAATCACGTCTCCATTAACCACACATACTTGTGGTGAACATGCAAACCACGTTCACTACAACTGTGCGTGGTTAATGCAGACGTGATTCCTTGCAAGGGTTTTCTGTTTGGTGTTTTAACATCTTAACATCTGAGTTCTTGCCAGAAAGGATACAACCAATTCTTATTGTTATTAAACAATGAATAGGAGGTTATTGTTTTCATGGAAGGTTACATTTAGGCAGCTGCATTCTTGTGAGTTGTACAGCTCTCTGTGCCACTGACTTAATGGAGGAGTCTTATATTTATATGATTGTGCTGGGAATATGCAATCATCTAGTTAGGCTAAATTACGATACCCAGCTAAATCAGTTTTGAGGATGGAATTTATTCATTGTTTTTAGTTTTATAATAATAAAATGAATTGAGCCTTCTTTATGATTATATTTTTTCATGCCATCAAAGTAATGCCATATATGTTATCTCAAATGATATATAGCAGCAGGGGTTGAGCCAGGATTTTCAGCCCGGGGTGACATTCAACAAATTTTAATTTCAAGAATGATTTAGAGAGTCAGGCTGTTGAACTAGACGCCATCGGTTGGCGACACACTCTGACAATGCAGTTGCACGTAGTCCGCCAGACCGAGTGTCGTACACTTATACGCAGAATGTTTCAGATTTTAGATTTTTTATTTTTTCGGGGGTGAAAATTGTCTACCCTTTCACAACCCCTGGCTCCGCCCCTGTATAGCAGAGTATATTTGTTTCCTTTTGTATGTAAAACTCACGTGCCATCGCACACATTTATATCATGCCATTTTAGTTTGTCAGAAAATATTTCGCTTAAGGCAAATACATTTTAACATGTGCTACATTGAATATGGGTTACCAAAAGGTACCAACCAATATATAAAAAATATAATGTCTCTTCCCCAGTTACGGTGCAGTTGTGCCACCAGCTGTGAAATGAACATGTTTACATGAAGCTTTCAGAAAGCAGCGCATACATCGATACTAGAGACCAGCCTCCCTGCAAGGGTACAAACGATAACTTTTCAAGGCCCCGTCAATGTCCTTGTCCCACACTTGATGGTGCCCTGCTGCTGTGGACAGGCTCATAACAAGGCAATCAGACTGAAAATGTCATCCTCAGAACAGGAAATATGTAAAGTTATTGATAATCCACCATTGGGCTGGTGTTGAGATCACCATTGGACTCGTGTTGAGATCACCATTGGGCTGGGATTGAGACAATCAACTGGATACGCTTGAGAATTATGTTTAATTACGAGTAGCCATCCATATTTGAACCCAGGATCTCAGCAGCGCCAACTCTGTGCTCTGATCACATTTTGAGGTCCTATTCCAAAGTTCTCATTGTAAAGTAAGCTCAAGTTAGAGATTGCACTGGAGATAAAGTACATGTTTCATTGCCACTTTCAACGCTTTCAAACACTCCTCATTAATCGGATGTTACAAGTGTAACAATTGTGTACAGCATCCTGTATTGAGATTACACAGCTGTCAACCCATACGGTTTACCCCGTATTCTTGTACAGGGAAATTGAGTTTTCAGGTCCACGCGGCGTACAGCCGTTTCAATGCGGGCTAAAAACATGTTTTTGTCTATTTGTGTTTTTCCCTTGCGATGGGACTTTGTAGGATGAACGTTGAGATTTATAAAATCACTGGGTGACCAATAAGGTCTGAATTGGTCTGTAATAAGGTAGGGCACTGATAAGGGGTTGACATGTATGAGATTAACCTTAACTATTTTATATTGTGAAACCTAATTCAGATTTGTTTAAATTACGCAACGGTTACTGCGTTCATGTCGCTAGAGCCGTATTACAATTGTGTTATAAATAATAAATGTACACATTGGAAAACACCACTCTATTTTTGATTGCTCAGGGGCTGCAGTAACCCTCGTTAGTTTCACAGAAGCATGCTGCGCTTATCACCTCGTCGAATTGAGAGATCTGGCTCAGAGTGTGGTAATTCTACGTTAATTATTTTCAACCTCTGAACAATGTGGACTGCTTTACATGAATCTCAAAAACAATACATTTGTCTGCATTTTACTTCTAATGCCAATGCTATCAATTGTTTTTTTTACGTATTCCAATATACATAAAAAACATACACAGGTCTGTCAGAGTTTTGCAATTTTCCAATGAACGTACTTTGCTAAAAGCGTTCTTTGCTAAAAGCGTTATCACCCTTCGTGTGTGCGGAGGATGTCATGCATTGTTGCACATCGCTACAACCGAGGTGGCAAAGCGGAGATTTGCTCGGCGTATTGATTTGTCTGGGACGAGCAGACGCCACGGTCTCACGTGGTGGGGATGTGGGAGGAACAAAATATTCGTCTCCATTGGGACGCGTAAGGATTTTGTTTTTACCAGGTCGTGCAAACGCCCAGCCCTGGCACGCAAAGACAACTTAGCCGGGCCAATGGTCACCACAGTGGCCTGTAATTGCCCGCCACTCGGGACGCTGCGAGCTGGGACGCTCGTAGTTGGTGTCCAAAGTACCGTACCGTAAAAAAAAAATACTTCCATATACTGCTACAATTTCACGTTCAGGTGCTCCGCGTCTACATCAGCCATACGAAAGAAGAATATTTTGCGACTAGTTCACGCCAAAAAAACCCGGTATTGACGGTTCCCTGAGTCACGCTGGGGATTGCGGCCATAATAATCATGAACATTTATGAGAATAGGTTTTCCCCTTTTTTCTGGCAACAAAACAGGTGTTAAGTTGTTAAAACACCAAACTGAAACCTTTTACAAGGAATCATGTGTGCATTAACCACAATACTTGTGGTCAGAATGCAAACAAAAAACATACTCTGATAATATTATGCATTGTCTTTGATACTGATTGGTCCACACCAGAGACAGCTTTCTTTTGAGCCTCGTCTCAAAACGGTGTTAGACCATTTATTTATAAGGCGCCTTCCACTAGTGTCTCGAGGCGCCTTGTCAGAATAAAGTTAAGGAAAGTTAACTTAAATAAGAAACTGTGTTTGTAGGCGCGACTTCAAAGTTATCCACTTTGTCGGTTAAATGAATTTTCAACGGGAGGGAATTCCACAACCGAGGCGCAGACCCAGCAAATGCCCAGCCGAGATCGAGGTACACACACAAGGGCAGAATCTGCAGATCTTCGCCGCAATCAACACCCCGGTGAGCGTAGCACGGTTTGGGGTCGTCCATAAATGACGTCACGCACCTGGGGGGGGGGTGGTCAAACATTTGTGACGATGTGTGACGAGGGGGGGGGTGGGGTTTGAGAAATGTGACGTCACATCAAAATACGCAACTTTAAATAAATATAGAATTCAATCTTGATTTGAAGCTTTCGTGACTGCAGGAATCCATACTCTTTGGTTCTTTCGGTAAAGTCATCACGTAGTAGGTAGAAATGAAACGAGATAAATCACGACGTTTCGATAGCAACACAAGCCATCGTCTCCTGGTGAAATTCACGACAGCCGCGATGTCTGCTGCCTTGTGAAGAGAAGCTGTTACCAGCAAGACTTTATTTAAGTAGTTTTTTTTGTTTAACATGCCACGCTATGTGTTACCTTTACGCTATAATACCCCATTAACACTACTTCGGCTACCTTTGTTCTCAAAAACTTAAAGCGATTTGAAGCACGTTTTATTTTCAAAATGGAAATATGGTTTTGGTGTGTGGGGGGGGGGCTGGGCAGAGCATTGTGACGTCATATTTTAGGTGGGGGGGGGGGGTCTGAGTAACGCCGTGTGACGAGGTGGGTGGGGGTGGGGTAAAAAATCGTCCAAAATCGCGTGACGTCATTTATGGACGGCGCCTTGAGCGTCCGTCTCAAGATCGCCAAGGTGTGCGAGTTGGATTCCTTGCGCACGGACGACTGAATCCATGAGTCACTCAACTGGGGTGTCGGTAAAGACAAACACGTGATTCGCCATGAGGTGCCCCAGTCGAGAGCGACTGTCCTCAAAGAAAGGCCGTGGTCACCAGACAATGCACTGTGAAGATATATTGTTGGGCAGCGGCTCAGCGAAATGGCAGGTGTAGCACACACGTTATGTATATATCGTTACATTTCAATCACAGTTCCCATGATCACTGTTACGTTGCTTTTATAGCTTTATTTTGGTGATTTCGAAAGCGGTTTGCTTTAGCCATATTTGTTTGTTGTAGAACAGACTGATAACTTTAATCTATATTGTCTAATGGTTGTTATTGTTTGACTTGCATCCACTGGGATTTTGTTGCACACACAGCATTGATACGCGGTGCTTTTTCTGGAAGACTTTGCTGTTTTTTCCCTAGATTTTTCTGTTGCGCGTAGCCACTTTAAGATGTTTTTCTTGTTCACGTTTTTGTTTGTTGCGGTTGCACCCGATTCAAGAGCCGAATGGCTCACAGGGCTATACCTAATAAATGAAACTGAACTGAAATTCGCACGCGTGTGGGCGATTCACACAGGGCCCCACGTGGATGTCCCGACACACATACACAGAGTTGTCCTCAGGAGGGCGCTGTCGTCACGGTTGAACGCGACAACAGCGTTCAGTGGCCAAATTGTACAACCTCTTAAACAAACACAAAACCTCTCGTGAAGGAAGTACAATCTTTCCCCCGCTTTAAAACCACTCAGCACCTCGCGTCATTTCGACGGTGACTTTGTCAGCGGTCAGAAAATTACGATCGCGGAAATGTTACGCGCGTTCTAAACGTGTTTAAAGGGCTCAGTGACGATGGTGATTTATTGTTCACGTTTTAATCTGGCACGCGCTTGGGCTCCAAACGAAGACCGAAGGCACAATTCGGTATTTCACTCAACATGCGCAAACAATGTCTGTAAGTACCGGTTCTGCTTCGGGGGTCAATAATCCAAATACCACCATCCAATTATCACCGTACCAAAAACATTGGACCTTTGCTTCGTAGTGGAGGCATTTGAAAAGCAACAGGTGAGTTTATAATTGGCTGCCGCCTGATGATGCCGATTGTAATTACTGGCGAAACGTCGTACTCAGATTGTAAA